GTGGCGACACCTTCATGCATCTCCCAGTTGGACTATTCAGATGTTTAACAGCTGAGCGGAGGCTGTGTTCTTTCGCATCACTGAAGGTTCACCCGTCAGCCAACTGCAAAAGCTGACAAAGCTCTGCTGGCGCAAAGCCGACAAGTCCTGCGTCAGCAAAAGCTGGCGCAGGGCTTGAGAACCGCAGCCGTTCAGCCGCTGCTGAGATGCCTAGGTTGCGACTGAAGTCCGCGTTCTCCAACTCGGCAAGCATCCAGTGTCGCGTCCCCGCGACAGCACGAGAGCAGAGGCTGCGCACGCACGCGCGCGTGACAGCTTGATCTTAAGGTATGTTTTCGCCCCACGGTTGTAGCTCGGCACGGTTGTAGCTCGGCACCAATAAGCCCAAACAATCCAGAGGCACAGCGCTGATGGATCAATTACCTGCGTGATATCTGCGATCATTTTGATCGTTCAAAGACTTTCGTACGCATTATTGACAGACTATACCGTATGCTGCATTACGGCATAGGGTTCGACACTTGCCCATACGGTCCAGCCTTTGCTGGGATGCGGGCGTGGACACCGTGACCGCAACACTGTTACCTGCATTGCTTGAGGCCATGCGACAGGGGAATATCGCGGATGGGAATGCATTTGTCGTACACAGCATGTTTACTCTTATAGGAGGCTATCCCGCAGTGACCGACGCGACGTCAGTAACATCCCTCTCATTATTAACGTCATGCCAATGGCCCACTCCCAGAACATGTCTATTCAGGTGTGCACACGGAGTCACCGTGGGGTGAACGAGCTGTAGGAGCTACCGACCGGAGCTCTCGTTGGCCTCCTACAGAGATTATCATCTGCAGACTCTTATAACATGCTGCCTTTCCTTGGAATCCCCTGTTATCAAATTTAAGTGTGCTGCAAGGAGAAATGCGAAATTTGGTGCCACTCTGGCGTTCTCATACGCTTTTTTGCAATGTTGGAGTGACAGTCAATTGCTTAGAAGAGGAGACGGGCTCGTGCGCCTCTTTGTGAGTGCCTCTGGGCGTATTGCATTCCTTTTGAGGAAATTGCGAACGTTCCGTTGACAGATTTTAACTCTGGGGAAAACCTTACGACCACCAAATAGTAATGCAAAAACACCGATTTAACACTGCGTCAGACGCTCCACGCCACGAGTGCAAGTGCCTCCAGCAAGCTCCATCAAACGCGCCGCATATACCGATGCCCTCAGCAAGCTTCATCAAACGCGCCGCAAGTGCTGGCGCCCTCAGCAAGCTTCATCAAACGCGCCGCAAATACCGGCGCCTCCAGCAAGGTTCATCAAACGTGGCGCGAGTGTCGGCGCCTCCGGCAAGCTTCATCAAACGTGGCGCGAGTGTCGGCGCCTCCGGTAAGCTTCATCAAACAACAAAACCTTCTCACATCGTCTCAACTATCCTCAGAAAATGTGCAAAGGTTCCCTAAGCACGACTTTCCTGCTCCGACAAACGCATACACATTCTCGGAAATTGTGCCCGCACATAAATCTCGGTGGTGGAAGCTGACGTGAACACCGGAAATCGCTTGGCCATCTCGGCCAGCTCTGCGTCACAGGCGACCCCGCTCCAATCGGCGCCGCCCTAATGTTCTGGGATCGATTGGAAGGAGATGGCCGAACTAGCCAGTCATGCTCAGCTGCTGCCGCCCTCGTGTCCCGCTGAGTGCCGTACAATGTCCAATTTCAACCAGGAAGAGGTGGGTCTCGGCTGGACAGCCACGCGACGCATGGCGTGTTCGGCACGTCAACGAGCCCGTGCCGTTCATAGGAAATGCTATTAGCTGCGACGTTGCGGCGCGCATGATCGGTTGGTGAAGACCGAAAGTCGTTTCGACCGGAAGGTCAGCCAGGCACCCAAGCGAAAAGGGCTAATAATCCTATTTGCGAACCATTCTCGTGACTTGCCCAAGGGACGGTCCTACACGGTTTTGTCGGATTGAAAGCACGCGTCATCATGAAGTACGAGGACTTCAAATTCGGCGTCATTAAATTCATTTTATTCTAGATTTTTTTTAAAATTTACTTGAGATGAAGCCAACTTGACCTGCCACCGGCGTTTCAAAAAGCACTTCGAGCTCAATAGAATGTATCACAGAAAGCTATACCATACCATACAATCGTCAAGAGAATGGTCCCACGCACGGTTTGTGGGAGTGGGGAATGCTGTGTCATAGAGCTCGGTACTATAAAACTGCATCAAAAATATGTGTCAGTGCATAAACGTGTGCATGCTCGCTGACAAAAGCTCCGCAGGGTGATGCTTCATGTTTCTTAGCCTCGCAGCCATGCTACGGCTGAGTGCCCGATTTCAAAAGTGTTTTGTTAGCTTATAAGGAATAAGAATAGCGACAAAAGCTGGCTACTTTTTATGATGTGAATAATGACATCCAAGCGACACGTTACTTGAGGACAACGGAGTTCACATACTTCGTCCAGGTATGCACCAGATATTTATGGAACGGCCGCAAGCCCAGCCCAGCGTTCTCGAAAGTGATGCGTTTAGAGCGGCGAAAGCGACTGTAGCATGGGCTGGATCCAGTCGATCCAGGCGAAGGTGACGCACGTGACTGCGTTGATCCTTTCCTGCATCATCATTGCGCAAGGCAAGTTTCAGCCCTCGTCGTGCGCTGAAGCTGCGTTCAGCTGCGGCTTAACTGGCAGGCAGGGTCACACAGGAGGACGCTCAAGCTTGACGATTTCAGGGATGGGCTTCCGCGCGATGTGCCTCACATTTCGGAGGACGGTTTTAGGGGGTACATTTTCTCCCTTAGTAAATGGAAAGGGAGCGGTTAACCCTTTGCCCCTCTAGTGCGCCGCTGCGAGGTTGTTGCACGTAGTCTCCAAGCGATCAATAATAATAATGTTACGAGCTTAAAATGAGGAAGAAATGAATACCAGGGGATTTCTTCAGGCTGCATGAGTAGCATGTTACAACGTAATGGAGTTAAAACGAGACGCATCTTATGCCCCGTCCCGACAGTTCAGTTGGTTACAGCACCTGATTTCCGATCAACCCACCCGTGGCGAAGTGGGTTCGGGTTGCTGTAGGCGCTTGCTTTTTGCTCCTGGCAGTCATGGCCTACGGCCAGTGGAAGCGGCCGCGCTAAACGTCTGGTGAAGTAAAGGGTAGGACGGACCGATCCGTGGCTTGTGATACAGTTACAGTTATGTGGTTATTTTATTGAATGCGCATCCTCATGGTGGTTGTTCTGCGCCTAGTCGTGCGAGAAAAAGGCACGCAGTACACAGAGATCAACTTTTACGTACAGGTCAAATCAGTTTCAGCCAATGGGACAGCGATTTAAAACAGTCGAAAATGTCCGGCGCGGGGAGATGCGGACGGCCGCTGCAGACCGGTTCGATGGGGCGGCGGCGCGGTACGGAAAATGTCGCTGGGTGGCGGTCAGTCGGATGCGCGGCAAGCGCAGCGAGCCGACACCTCCCGAAACAGCCCGAGTTTGACACCGGGAAGACTCGGCGCGCGTCATGAAGCGAGCACGCAGTGCACTGGGGGATTCGGGACGTGCAGCGCCCCGTACACATCAGGCAGTGCCGGTGGTGCACAAGATTCGCGACGCTGCGCCAGCCGAACGATTCCAGGACGGGTGAAATCGGGTCGCTACGGCGGACACCACTCACTAGCCTGGCTGCCAAGTGCATTACCCTTTGCACCCTGCCTAGATGACGCTCGGCCGCTGCAACCAAAATGAACAGGCAGTAGAGGATATGAGGGACGACGTCAATTTGGACAAGGAGCTTCAAAACCTAAGGACTGAAGTGGTGTCAAATTTTGAGCAGTGATGCGAGGATTGCATTGCAGTGCAGAACGAGCTAGCAAATGTGAGGTTCCCAGGTAAGGTGGTGATCGAGGAGTACACCCAGTACCTTCACTGAAGATGATGGGTGAATTTCTGCGCCAGAGATTGCAATGTGAATGTTGCCGGTATTTGTGATAAAGGGTGTGGTGCCGAGCAGCATGAAATCTGTGTTTTAGGGGTCCATTTTAAGGCTACGACTGAAACCGGTTTTGAAGGCACTGAAATGACTCTATGACACGGTTGGATGGTATAGGTTGGACAGGCCGACGACATCGGGGGTGGCTGAGTCAAGGAGTTGGGTGTCATCGGCGTAGGATGGTGGGCGGCCGTGGGGTAGAAAACTGCATAGGTCGTTGATGAAGATGAAAAACAGGGTTGGACCGACAAGGGATCCCTGGGCCACCCCGCGGGACAGGGATAGGGTAACCGAGCCACCACCAACCACATACCTCCGACCGCTCAGGTAGTCCCGGAACCATTCCGAGGACACCCCACACCATTCCAGCCTGCTCAGGAGGACGCCGCGATCAGCGCTGTCCATGGCCTTGCAAAGGTCAATCGTCGTTATCGACGCGACATGGCCACTGCTGACAGCCCTTGCCAGTCACCCGACAGCGTCGATCAGCGCGTACTCGGACTCTTCCAGACGGACAGAGAACTTTGCATGATGTGACGGAAAAGCTGATCAGATATAGACGATGAGTGCCGATTACAAGGAAATACTTTTTCATTGCATGGAGTGGCACACCACCGGCACCGACAAGCTCCACGCGTTCATCTTCCCCATGGTTGGAGAGAGCTTCGGTAGAGTGACTGGATGTAGGGAGAACGCCGAGGCACAGACACGTACGGGCGTGGTCCGGTGGGGGCGCATCCGCACTGTCACGCACCGCCGCCGCCTCCGCAGCGAAACGGGGGCAATGGCAGCGAAGTGGGCATTGAGTGCGTCCGCCCGGGTGCCCATGTCGTAATCAGGGGTGTCGCACCCTCTCGCTGGTGCAGTCCGAACTGCTTGAGGGGGCTCCAGAAGTCTCGCGCGCCCTGTCAGCAGACTGCTGCACAGGTAGGAGCGTCGCGCGAGAGCAATCGGTCCGTTCACTCTGTTACGGCACGGCTGGTGCATGCCGCGCGCCTCTGTGGTATGGCAGCGCTACCAGGCCCGCAGGCGCAGTCGCGCTCCTCCACAGTTGCGGAGGCTTCGGTATCTCCACGCAGGCGTGGCCAGCCGGGACGGTGTGACGTCATGGCCGTGATCAGGGAGTGGGCGTCGACTGCGACGTTCCACACTTCCATAAATGCGGCCACCTTGTCATCGGCCGTGCCAGCGGTGTAGAGCGGCTCCTAATCAGCGAGCAGCAGGCTCAGGTTAAGCGCGTCCCAGTCGACGCGTTTCCACGGTCGCACGGTGGCGGTGACTGACCGTCGGCGCTCTCTGGGGACGGGAGCGCGGAGCAGCACCGGCTGGTGGTCCGCCATAGGCTTGTGGAGAGCCTCAGCTGAGTTCCGGAGACCGGTTGTATTGGTGGCGATCAGGTCTAGAAGTGTTGGTGTTGAGTGAAGGCCGATAGGCTTGGCGACCAGCTGTTCGAGACTCATGTCCCTCAGGATGGCCTGAAAACCGCGTACGCCGGGACGTCCGGGTTGAGAAGATTGATAATTAAGTCACCGGTGCGAGTGCCAGTGTTCCTGTGGCGACGGCGGCCTGTAGTCGATCTCGAAGGCTCTCCAGCCTCGGGACGTTCGTCCTCCCGGCGGTCAGTAGATGACACCAACCACCACGGTGCGGCGGCCAGGGCCGCTCACCGAGAGCCACAGGAATTTCACCAAGGGGTCGATGCCGCCTATGTCGAGCTTCGTTGCGCGGAGGGAGTCCGCGACGAGTACGGCGACTCCACCTCAACGCGGCGGGGTCTGCTGGGCTGCTGTCAGCCGGGCGACAACGCGGTCATGCCGCAGTATGCTAAAACCCGGGAATATCAGCACCCTGTCGAGTACCTCGGGCTTGAGCCAGGTCTCAGACACACAGGATGTCCATGTGGTGTTTCTGCAGGAGCTGGTTGACTTCGTTCAGTCGACGAATCAGTAACCGGGCATTGATATGAGATTGATATTGATATGACATTGATGTTGTAGTGATGTCGATTCGCGGGCTCAACAACCCTCGCGGGTACCTTAAACTTCCGCCACCAAATTATACCGTTGACCTGAAATTGGACGCTCGGATGGTAGAGGTCAGGGCTTATGCAACAAACACTGCCTAGCGTGAGTTTGGATCCCAAACATGCATCTGGGTAAAAGGTTCGGATAATATCCGTTATAAAAGTTGCATGATCTCATGAGTAACACGGCTTAATACCCCGTGCTAGACTGCTGGGGCACGTAGAAAAATTTATTGAATGGGACGAAATGTAAAATGTCTTCCACAATCCTGCGAACTTGAAGCAATTCCTCCGTATGTTTGTCTACGGTCCAGAATGTTATTTTACACGCGCTCAGGTAGGGGGTCAAATTGAACCCCCAAAGGTTTTTCCAGAATGGTTTCCGAGCGGCGCGGTGCAGCCGCGCCAAATTTTGCGTATCTGTAGACAATCGAATAGCGGATCCTCTGACGTCCCAATGCATATATACCTTGTAAGGTCGCTGATCTATGGCAGGTCAAAATCAGGCCATGGTTTCAGCGAAGTCAGTTTCTAGGGAATCGTTCAAGCTGATGCAACAGCGGAGTGTTAGACGGAGCCATACATCTCTGAGATACTTTCTTAGACAACAGAAATGTTGAATGAGCAAGTTACGTTGACCTAAGGTCAGGTACAGAGGTCAGACTAAGGTCAAAATCAGCCCGTTTTATTACTCTAGGGCTTGCTGTAGGAGATAGTTTCTGGTGCTCATTTCAAATTTATTGATAGCAGAAACCGTGTTATGCATCTTCCATGGACTTCTGAGAGGTCAAAATAGGTCATTGACCTGAAATAACCCAGGTCAACGTTTTGTTTTTAGAAACATACTGTCTAGCACAATCTTTGTCGCTCATCCAAATGCAAAGCTCAAAGCAGTGTTGTATGATTTTGGTCATCATGACCTTCAAAAGGTCAAAAAAGGTCACTACTTTAATTGAGCATCTGACCTTGCGCTAAGAAGCAGTTATCTAGGTTCTGGGGGCACTTTGGAGACCAACCTGGCATTTAACCGTGTTTGACCTTATTTGACCTGAATATCATAACCTAGAAACCTCAAAATTTGACCTAAGTGACTTCACGTTTAGGTCAATACACTCTGTTTATTTGAAGTTTATAGCTTGCTTAGTTCCCGAGATCTCAGGGGGTCAAGTTGACCCCCACCCCTCACCCCCACCCGAGCGAAGGGTATTAGCCGGCTACCCGGGTGCGAGTTAATACTTGTCAGATTGTCAGAATTGCACATTGTCAGAAATTAAAACAACTTTGTCAGGTTATTGGCATGCATTAATTCAAGTGCTGTGAGTTTAAAATGTAACTATTTTTGGATATTTTCATTGTACTTCTAGCTCAGAAGTTATCTAAATCGCGAAATTTGCGTTTTTTATTCATGATTTTAGAGAAGTTTCGGAAGGGAAAGCATATAAAACGCATCGGAATGTGTTTTATTAGCGATGGTCCAGAAAACACGGGTCTAGTCAACGCTCCAAAGTTGGTTCCTACTAGTATGGCCGGCCATTGCCGCAGTGCTCGCTGAAGGCCATTTCGCTACAAGCTATAGGACCATAAAGTTCTTAAAGATTGAACCAGACCAGTAAATCTCTGCAATATTTACCGAGGGTTCTATTTTTTTAAACTTTGACCGAAGCCAGCGCAGTGACCCGCTTAACACAAAACGGATGCATAAAAGGCACTACAAATTTCGCGGTGCTCCGCTGTTTTTCTTTTCTTTTCTTTCCTTTTCTTTTGCTGAGCCCCTGAAAACGTACACTAACGTTACTACGCAAGGTGCTGATATACAAATAGGTTTCCAGGTGCGCAATGAATAAGAACTATCCGCAGAATTGCAGGACTGTGACTAGTTCTGTATCAAAGATATATCTAAAACACGATGGTGGAACTGGTGCTAACGCATGATTGTCATTGATGAGAGCGTACGTGGTGCGTAGGCCGTAATTGCAGCTGTATTTGGAACAGTTATATAAGAATGTAGTACATAAGGTACAGTTCAATGCCAGTTTTCACCTTTTCTTTGAAAAATGTATAATATCTATGGTGAACTGGCACGACATGCTCGATCACTTCCTAATTTGGTATTAAACTCTACGCGCGGAAGACATTGAGCGTTCTCGGGCAATATAGGGGAATATCGCCGAGCAGTCTTTCGGAGTCCTAGAAGCATAGTGTTCACATTTGTGACAATGCAATCCTACCGACGTGAAGGAAATACGTCATGCCTAAAATTAGGAATAGGGATTTCTGAGTGGAAACATGTGCGCAGAGTATATCTCCTCTTGCAAGAACGTTGTTAAGCTAGGGGGCGTGTCCCCTCCTACGTGACAAAAGAGGGCAAACGTCCCCCGTCCATACCGGTGGCGCCGCCCCTGGGTACCTGTCGCAAATATTCAGTGAGAACACCGAACAGTCAACGGGACGAAATGCCAACTGGATGTAAAATGCATATGTAACGGGAAAATGCCCATATAAAACACATTAGCAATGCCGTGCACTGCATCAGCCAGGCTGAACATCTCTATTCCCATAGCTGTACCTCCCAAAGTTGCAACGTACACAGGCTCAGCCATCATGACTCAGACCCCCCCCCCCCCCTTCGATGACTGAGTGGTTACATGCCGACGCATGCTCAGCCCGACTATGCACCATAATGCCCCTTTTGCGCTCCAGTCCAGCCCTGTAACGCCTGCCAGGCGACTGTCCCAGTGCAGCCGGGGGATGGCGGTCGGTTTCATGCAAGGTCGAGCTTATTCCTGCAGGGCCGGTTTCCATCTGTCATGTGCATGGTCAACTCAATTTCGGTCGGTTTTGTTTCAGCGTCTTATTCAGAGTCGGCCTATTCCAGTCGGTTTATTCAGAGTCGAGTTTCAGAGGGCCGCGGGAGATTCATCTCGCAACAATAGTGCTCCACTGTATACCAAATCGGAGGAATTTGGGCCACTGCGCGTAGCGACGCGTCCCTCCCAAAAGGATGAAATTTTTCACCCCGGCGGACGCAGGCGGAATTATTTTGTGGATGATAAATTGTGGACTGTGAACATTATGGACTGTAATCGTTGTGAGCTGTGGGCGTTATGAACTGTAGTCGTCATGACCTGTGAACATTATGACCTGTGGACATTGTGAACATCCCCCGCCCCCCGACTCATCAACTGACAACGACCTATCTGTGGGTGCAACCTGCGCCATTTCAAAACCGGTCATGCAGATTCTGGTCATAGGCCCCGGACGGTTATCTCAAGAACATCGTACTGAAGCGAAACGGTCAGCAATTACACCAAGCATCGGTTATCATCACCTGCAATATGTGGAACTAAGTTAAAGGGGAGAATTATTTTAAAAATCGTTATCAGTGACCTCAGCCATGGAAAATAGATCGTAACTAGTGGCTTATGAGATGGAGAATCTTCAAATATTGACAGCAAGTGCTGTGGAGGTGTGAACTCCGTTGCTGAAAAGTTCAACGCATGCATCAAGGGGTTTAAAAGTTATTAAAAAAAAAAAAAAAACACCACGGCTGCTAAGACCCCCGGCGGTCAACGATTATTAATACGTTGCCGTCGCAGTGAACCTACGACTAGATAAACCATTCAAGCTTACATGTTAGTATAAAAGATACTCCAACGCATGCAACCGGGGCATTTCCCACTAGCGCACACCCGTGCCCTCTAGCGGTAGCCCTTGGAAGCCACACCACGCGACGCTCTGGTGACCCACCTTGCAGGCGGTCTTGGCCAGCCGAGGCAGCAGCGCCTCTGGGTACACCTGGTGCGTGGAGAAGGACGGCATGTCCACCAGGGCCTCTCGCCTAACCGTCTCCCACTGGTCCTCGCCGTATGTCACCTTGATGAACTCGGCCAGGTTCTCCAGCAGGAGGCCGTACATGGCGGCGGTCTGGTGGCAGACTCTGCTCAAGTGCGCACTGAGACCGTCTCGCAGTCCGTCCGTCTTATCGACTCGATTCTGACCACTTTGAGCGTCTCGTCACTCTCGCCACCCACCGGCTCGGCTTCAGCCAGGCAGACCGCTTTACCCGGTCCGTGTCCCAGCGACAGTCACCGGCTCGGCTTCAGTCAGGCAGACCGCTGTACTCGGTCCGTGTCCCAGCGACAGTCACCGACTTGCTGCCGCTCAGCAGGCGACCACAGCCCGGCTGGATCTCAGGACTTAGCTGCCGACTGGCCACATGGCTGAAGATCACTCCTTAACCACAGGAGCTGCGGTGCTGTGCCGACACGGAGCCGTGCCCAGGTCCCGCCGCTGCAGCACGGGCCGACCGTCGGCTCCACCACCGCTGCAGACCGCAGGACGGGAGCGCCAGGCGGCGAACGCTGGTGCTGGACAGCGAGGGTTCACCGTCATCCGCCCAGCGGCGCTATCTGGGCGGCTCAGCTGCGTTCGGGGTCGTTTCGGGACCAGGGATTACGCCTCCAGTCCTGCAAACGATGGCCGGGCGTCGCGTCAAGACAGATTGGTTCGATGACTTATGGTCTCGAATGTCGGCTGCCGTCGACAGAAATGAACAAGCCTGCCTGGAACTGACTCCGACGTCAAACATGACAGATATCTTGGTCGCTACTGTTCCGTTGGGAAACGGCAACCAAATTGGCGCCTCACGCTACGGGGCCATTTCGGAAGACAAATACTCCCTTTAATGTTAGCGAAAAGGAGCGATAACCTCTGGCTTACCGAGTGGCATAGTAGCGTGACATTTAATGAGACTTGTGGCTTTGCTGGAGATCGTCCAAATGATGTTCTAAGGGCCGTGAAATGTCCATGTCCATGTGGATATCATGAGCTGATCTGTCTACACCGCACCACATATGAGTACATATAGGTCGGCTAGCATATGGCTTTTATAATTATAATTGCCGCCAAATGGTTCAGGCAAGCGGCGCTCGGGCTGTCAACTAACTGCTGAACTGGAGAACATCAACAACAAAACTTTGCCAGTGATGATCAACAGCCGCTCATCAAACAGAACCTGAGTTTTGAACACGATGGTTCATCGTGAAAGGGTTCGACGTCGTGACGTTAAAGGGGTTATTCCACATTTGTATGGGGTTTTGAACTGATATAGCCGTCTTGATGATTACTGATGATGATCACTGATATAGCCGTCTTGATGATCACTCGGTGCGGCTCACAGCCCTGCCCTTCTTAAAACCTACACCCTTCCAGTTTCTGAGTTACACGCCCGCAGAGATGCGCCACCAGACTATCTCATGCAGACTGTGTCAAGGTCACCCAGACATCTATGGCGCCATAATGCTATTCAAATCGTGCCAGTGATCAAGGTCAGCACAAATATAATTGTTGAGCCGTTCTTATCTGGCGTTCGGAAGCACAACTTCCAGACATGACGGTCGTCAGTTGGCTCTCAATCAATGTTGTGCGAAGTACGGTGACGCAAGCAAACAATGACGTGTTGATACTGAACTACTATATCCCAGTGCTAATTAACGTATTGATAGACGTATTGACGTATTGACGTTGGGCTTACTTCATCATATCTGATGTTTGCTTAAATGTCTCTAAATGAAGAGCATTGCCTTGCAGAGATATCGTTCAGCTATCTAATGTTTATAAGATGCATCAGCAAAAAAATGTGGTTGTCAGACGCAGCACTCAATGCAAGAACTACACTAATTATTTTCGACTAGCGCATTCCAAACGCACTTTCAGTGGCGACTGAGGCGGCATCGCCAGGCCAGATGTCAGCCCGGTCCGACGGCCCGTGACTCCCCCTCCCCTCCCTCTCGCCCCCGGCCCCGTCTCACCTCCGTCGGCGTGCCTTCCTCTCGCGCGTCAGTCCCGCCGGCCACTGCCGCCCCGTCGGCCGACCGCGTCGCGTTCGACGCAACAAGTCGGCCACTGCCGACGCACAGGCCGCTCTCGCCGAGCGGCGGCGGCCGACGATGCCGGGCGGGTCGGCGCCGGCGGACCGAGGGGTCCGGGACGTGGCGTCCGCCGCGGGACGCGGAAGGTGGCGGGTCAAGTGTGGTCACTTCACTGCTGTCATGAAAACGGAGAGTGGCGATTTGACGAGAGGGAACAAATAAGAGCACTTCATGAATTGGATTTACAGGATCCGGTGCAGTGCAGTCCGGCTCGTCCAGATCCAGTCTGCCCGCCAATCCGCTTTGCCCAGATTCCTCATTCAAATCCGGCCCGGTCTGACTAGCGAGACAAATTTATCCAATGAATCCGCGCCAATGCGCTTCCACATTACGGACTTCCAAAATTCCCATAGCAATGCTGGGCCCTCCGAATATCTTCAGGTTAAGTTGTTTGTTAATTTATTTTGGTCAAAAGTGCTCAAAACTGAAAAAATAAGTTACTCGAAACCAGGGAAGCCTGATGAAAGGCCCGATGAGCATTAGCACATTGTCTGACATTTTCAGACTCCAGATTAGATATAACGTACTTATACTTGCCAGTCGACAGTCTGAGCGGCATCCAGTTCACAAGCGTAGGACGACGTTCACCTAGTACGACTTCTGAAAAAAACTAAAACGAGCATCTCGACACATATATGATACTTCAGGTGTGATCCGGTCACGGACGTACCAACAGATAAAACAACCTAAACTCCGACCATTATTTCCTGCTAAATTACCGGCTGCGTCAAAATGACAATCCACTCGTGCGTCTGTCCAAAGATAGGCGATTGCGCTACTCTCATTCAGGAGAATGAAAAAGTTACGTCAATTTTGAGACCCCATTGCTAAAATACCAAATGTTACTAAATCTCCCGTTATGGCGTATAATAGAGAAAAATGTCTTTGTTATTTGTAATCGTGCGTGGTATAGTGGCATGAAGTCACATTTGCATTGTCAAAAACAACCTTATCCATGTATGTTGGCGATAGTACGTCACTTGGCGTTTACTATTTTGCTTTAGTCACGCTAAGAGAGGAATCATAAATGCCTTATTACATGACGTGGCGTTCAAGCCAAAGTAAGAAACACCTCTCGTCCGCCGTGGGTGCTTCAGAGTCAAATACAATTATAAAGTCCAAGCATGCTCTCGAAACGTGGTGCAAGAGTTAGGTACATGCCACCCGTCATCCGATATCTGTCATGACCGCTGGCGCTTTGACATCTCATCCACATCTTAGCCATTTGTTAAGGGTTCTGGTGATCATACAAGCTACTCCAGGCCTTTGTTTTTTTTAGGCATGAATGGACAGTCTCAGGTGGTATGCTCAGGTGGTATGTTCATTGCCTGACTTTCTGTCCTAAGTGTGTGGGACCAAAATCATAAAAGGAGAATCACAGGCATGCAAATGCATTGTTTGCGTTCAAGTTGTGAACGGTTTATATCAAGTGGGAATAGGATAGATAGGACACTAATGAACACATGCTTCTATATACCCAACTGTTTTGCTACATGCAAAGAGTACTTTACTTTTTGCAGCTAGCTGCTTGGCTAGAAAGTTATTTTGGTCCATGGGTGTAGAAGACAACATGCTCATTCTTTGAGATGCAGTTGCACGTGACTCGTGACAATAGCCCGTGACTCGCTGTGCGCCATATAGGCCTCTGCATATAACACACCAAGTGGTGACCCCATGGCGACCCCATTGACTTGGCGATAGAGTTCAGCTTCTGGACATCCGAAAAGGACGACTTTAGCACGACCCAGGGTGACCTCAGTACCGGAATACACACGCATGAATTAACATTCAAGGGTGATTTAGATGGTTTCGTGAACTGACACGTTCGTGAATAGTGACGAAGCATTAAGGGATTTGTTTTGTATTTTGTTACTATGAGCAGTTATGCCTACGTTGTTTGATGATATTGGCAGGACCAACGAAGCGATACAAAATATATAGGCACCCTTCTAAAAACGGTTTTCCGATGAATGAGAACGATGAATTCGAGACTGAATATTTACTGAAAAAGCAGTAAGTGCCAGATATGCTGTAATTGCCAGTGAAACATGGCCTTAATGAAAACCTGCTCTCCAACTTATATATATATATATATATATATATTATATATAGATATATAATATATATATGTGTGTGGTGTGTTGTGTGTGTGGTGTGTGTGTGTGTGTGTGTGTGTGTGTGTGTGTGTGTGTGTGGTGTGGTGTGTGCAGTGCTGTGCGTGTGCGGTGTGCATGAATTTTGTTAAAAATCATAGCGGACTCAGCATTCATGATCTTTAGGTATGTCCTCTCGATAACACAAATGCATACTGCACACGTACATATATAAATGCATGCATTAATGTTTAGTAAAGACAGCAGCATAGCTATAGAAACCCCTACTTATATCCGAGTTTAAATGCGGAATCAACGTTCCGTCACAGCTCTTGACATGCCTTTCGTTGTAGTCCCTTATTTAATATCCGCCATGGCGATATCGGCGCATGTAAGACATTCAAGTGCAATATTCGTCGTAGCTTTACGGCTATGGGGCGGGTGGTCACGTCGATTTCATTCAAAATTGCAAAATCCCGACAAAAGTCGGGATGCTATAGACTTTTTGACCACCGCAGGTACCAAAGACGAAGGTTAAAAATAATTAAAAGGGGGGCCCTCTATTTTCCCGTAGCCAGGCAGAATCTACTGTGGGCCGCCGTCGGGCAGTGTCAGCGGTACGCAGATGTTCACTTTTGAGTTGCCTTTTACCTATCTTACGGTCCGATGTGGGCTCAGCAGTGACACCTCTAGTAGATTGGACTCAGTGAAATGTACGTTGAGAAGGGGCACGTTGGGCTGAGTGAGCTATTTAGGGAAACATTAGGTGGAGAGGTTAAGGCGGTGCGAAAGATTTAATATTTGTAGCGAACTAGGTATCAAGTATACATCCTTTCCCAAATCCAAAGCGTCATCCGAAAATAATCAATTTGCTAAACGCCATCGGGGTAGAAATCAACGTCAAAGCATGCTCGTTGTAAAATAATTGTGAGCATGGCTCATGTTTCTTTATGTTTTTCCTTATGT